ATATCTAAAAATAAAAAAACTGCGTTTACCAAACCCGCTGCGCCGGCCATACGTGGAGGAGGCCTATGTTTAGCAGTACTAGGGCTTTATATAGACCGTAACTGTAACGTAATAAAGCGAACGAGGTGTTTCGAGATCGTGTTCGACAGTAGACGTAGAAAGAGGATAATGATGAAACAATCATGCCAAAAAATTTTGTTTACGACTTGTTCAAAATGTAAAAATAACATTAAAATAAATAAGAAAAGTGTAAAAGAAACTTTAAAAGAAAAAAATATTATACCAGAAGTTAAAAGCCGTCTTCAAATTAATAAATGGAATAAAATAATTGCACATTCTGAAACCGGAGCTAAGATATAGTAGTATAAGATATCAATGAGTTAAAGCGCTTTTTTTCCATTTTAAGTGGACTAAGAAATACTACAATCTTCTCATTGTTGGTTAAATAGTTATATTAAAAACTACATGCTATATTTTGCCAAGCTCAGGGGGGGGTAATTTTTCTAAATATATATATTGGACCACCCCTGTATACATATTTAATGGAATAAGAACCATCATAATCGATTCGCTACTAAAATAAAAAAACAATAAGTACAGTCGCATTGTAAGCCTCTTCCATGTTCTATGTGGGCTAAAACATTATGAGATAATGACATTTTTTCGTATTCATCTACATGTTAAATTTCTCTAAAAAAAGGAAAATATGCGTCATGCACATTATAACATAGCAAAAATAAGAAAATGAATTCTCAAATTCAATGAATAAACACGATGTTTCTTTAATGTCTTTAGACGGTAACATTTGTATATAAATTACCCATTTAAAGTTGTGAGTGAAGAATACAAAAATATCTCAATTCAAGTACTTCGTTTTGTTTTTCTCCACAAAAAATATCGGCAACGATTAGTAGGTACAATAAAATTTATATTCCTTGTAAGTGTGCTCAGCAACTTTCGTCGTATAGTGAATAGGAACCTGCTATTGCGGATTTATTAACATCATACATTTTTGTACGTGGTAGAGCCATACTGCAGTTATATTAGTAGTATAGTTAGCATGTGCATGGGTCGGCTCGACCGGGGAAGGAACACACTCTCACAGAATACCAGCGTAAAATAGTAGCTTAATGCTGCTGTGTTTCGTATGGTGATGTAGAGAACTGGAGACACTTTTTACTGGAAACAAGGCATTTCATCTCAGTCATCACGGGTGACAACGCATCTGCATTTTGATTCGTATTCGAGGATAGATGTAGATGTCTATGGGCCACAGCGTTCACTTACCATCAGGTGGACTGTGTGCTCGTTTGTCACTTTTATACTATATATATTAAAAAAACATTATGAAATAATAAGTGACATTTTTTCGTATTCGTCTTTCTGAAAAAGGAAACCAACGCTTTATTCAAACGAATATTATCAAATTGCAAAAATAAGAGTATTAATTGTATAAACACGATATTTCTTCAATTCCTTTAGACGGAATCATCCGTATATAAATTACTGTTTATCGTTTTGTTTTTCTGTAAGTGTGCTCAGCAACTTTCGATGTATAATGATTGGGAAACTTGCTATCGCGGATTTATTAACAACATACATAGATAATCCTAACTTTGAAATAGTTTCCATGCATACTTCCGAAATACGTCCCGTTGTACGAGGGAGGATTGAAAAGTACTCGGCCTAACACAGATCCATTCAATTCTAAAAAATCAAATCTACCCACATTATTTAGTTCAGTTCTGACTAGTTCATTGTGTGAAGTTCGAAACGTGTGCGATAATTAGTTGTGATTTTATAAATTTATTAACAAAGTAATCGGACATAATTTCCGCGAATGGAGCAAATCGAGCAGCGTGCCGTCATTAAGTACCTCCATAAGAAGGGGCTATCATCAAAAGCCATCCATGATGACATGGTCAGTACATTAGGCGATTGTGCTCTGTCATATTCATCCGTCAAAAAATGGATAGCAGAATTTAAGCGTGGTAGAGAGAGTGTGAAAGATGAACCCCGCTCTGGAAGGCCTTCGACGTCAACTACTGACGAAAATATTAAAAAAGTACTTGATTTAATAATGGGAGACCGCAGATTAAAAATTAGAGAGATAGCCGAGATTATAGGCATCTCTTATGAACGAACGCAAAACATCATTGTCAACGAGTTGGGTTTCCACAAGGTGTCTGCGAGGTAGGTTCCGCGACTGCTTTCAGTTGAACAAAAAAGGACGCGATTGACTATTTCACGCGACTGTTTGGAGTTATTTGAAGCCGATGCAGATGATTTTTTGAATCGTTTTGTTACTATGTACGCAACATGGGTTCATTACTGTACACCGGAAACAAAACAACAATCAAAACAGTGGATAAGACCTGGTTCACCACCCCCTAAAAAGGCTAAGTCGATTTTGTCGGCAAATAAGGTGATGGCTTCAGTATTCTGGGACTCGAAAGGTGTGATTATGATTGATTATCTTGAAAGGGGTCAGACTATAAACTCTGATTACTACTGCACCTTACTACGTCGTTTACGAGAGGAAATAAAAGAAAAACGTCGAGGAATGCTCAGAAGAAAAGTCCTGTTTCATCAAGATAACGCCCGTGTTCACACGTCAGTACAGTCAATGGCTGAAATTCACAACTGTGGCTTTGAACTATTACCGCATCCGCCGTATTCACCTGATCTGGCACCATCAGACTTCTTTCTGTTCCCCTAACCTAAAAAAGCACTTGGGAGGTCAAAGATTTTCGACAAACGACGAGGTCAAAGCAGCTGTAGACGCATATTTTGACTCTAAGGAAGAATCATTTTTTTTCAACGGTCTAAATGCTTGGAAGGGGAGGTGGCAAAAGTGTATTGAACTTGATGGTGATTATGTAGAAAAATAAAAATATAACTGATTTAGTATGTGTTTATTTTCTTGGTTAGGCCGAGTACTTTTCAATCCACCCTCGTATTTTTTGGATGTGTTGTACATGGTATAGCCACGTACAATGTATCATACGGTGAATGTAGGGAAGCGGAGGCCCTTTTTACTGAAACGTGGTATTCCATCTTAGTCCTCGGGGGTATCAACGCATCTGAATTTTGATTCTTAAATCAAGGATAAAAATGTAAATGTCGATGGGCCACAATATCCACTTACCATCTGGTGGACTGTGTGCTTGCTTTTTACTCATACTCGATAAGAAAATGTAACTGTAACGAATATTACTTTGAATCAAACGGCGACATGATGCTCTAACAACATGTTAAACTAAAATACAAAACTATTGATAAGCTATGATATTTATTTGTTATCATATACAGAGAGTACACATAACTAGTAACTATTCATAACAGCCAAACTTAACACATAGGGTAATGTGCCCAGTGTCCGGCCTCTTAAGACGTCAGCGGAATTATTTCACTTATAACTAAGCTCTCCAGAGGAATAAGTGTATAAATAAATTTTCATTAAGTCATAAATTTACTTAAAAATACATTCACAAATTATTTAAATTGCTTAAGCTGCCAGTCTTTTTTTTAAATAATTAATTTTCGGATAAGAACGTTTTGCTTCCCGTCCCAATCCATTGCCCGACCACTTTATGTCTAGTCTCCGGCCACCCAACGGAAACCTAAATACCGGATAAGGCTAGGGAATGGCAAGTGATCTCTCGGAATATCTAAATAAGGGTTATTTTTGAACGTTGGTATAATTTATTATTGATTGTTAACGAGTTGTGCCCTACGGTTTTACTTAAGATTAAAATTATGGATAATTTTATACGCATTTAAAAAATGAAAACACTAGTAGGTATAATATAAAGCTATTTATTATGTTAACAATTTATTCAGTCTTTTTTAATCTACTATAGTGAGAAAGTATTACAGTACCTAGTATTTAAAGTTAAGTAGACCATATTAATTATAAATGTAAGTATTTAGATTTACAATTGCAAATAATACTGATATAAAAAACTATTAAAAGTAAATTTAAAATCACCTTTTTCCTATTATTATGTGTAACCCACGGTAGGAATATAAAAAAAAACATTCGTTGTGATATGTCCAACTTACTGTACGGTTTTCAAAACTAGTAGGTATATATGAATAAGCAAGGATGAATAATTAAGATTTATTAAGTTAACTTCATAATTATAGGAATATAATGATTGTCATGCTGTGATTTACATAATTTTTGTTTTTGTATCAAGTATTTTGATGGTCACAAATGATTGATACTTTTTGAAGTACGTACTCAGTCGCTTAAACAATTTGGGCAGATATCAGGATTGGTGCTACAAGTTACATGTAACCACTTGTGACACCTGATACACTGTATCCATTCCACGTTAGGTCCTTTTTTATTAAAATAACTTTTTCCGCAGATTGCACAATAATCATCAGGATTATCAGAATCGTGAAGATTCTTTTCAATTCTTAATTTCGGTTTGCATTTTTTTATGGCCTTAGTTTTAGAATTTCGAATACAAGTTTGTTCGATGGTTTTATTCGTTTTCTCTGTAATCTGTTTACTTTTCTTCATTTTATCTTTTTCTTTATTTTCTTTAGCTTCCTTTCTTAGTATTTTTCTTTTAGATATAGCTTCTTCTTTCTCTTTTTTTAGGTTTTCTTTCACTTCAAAGTGTTTTCTACAGGCCCCAGACGAAACTGCGTTTGGAGGCAGAACGCTCTTTTTTTTAAGAACGCTTGTTTTAGGACTTTTTACTTTCTGGGTACTTTAAATGTTTGACATATGGATCATTGGAATGGACTTTAAGTGGTTTACGATTTTCTTGTAATTCTGGATTTGATTTGTCTTCATAGCTATTTCCACTATCTATGAGTTGCGTCATAACATAATCATTTTCCGTGTTATCAGCTCGTTGTATTTAATCTTCAGTATCAGCGAATATACAATTTGACTCGAGACGAGGATTACATTCTTTAATTCGGGGTTGATTATTTAATTTATTCTCTTCGTGAATTTCTGCTATTGTAACAATAGATGTTCATATAACATTTTGTAAATCTAAGTCTACTGGTGGCGTATCTTTTGTAACACTTTGAAATGTATCCGTAATTACTTCTATTTTTCTGTCAATATCTTGCGAATAAATATTATGTTCGCTTAAGTTCGTCCAATTAGATAATATATCATTACTGTGTTCATGTGTTTTGCTCATACGTTGAATATTTGAGCCCAAATCTGTATAATTTAAAAAGGCGATCTCTGTTTCTGTTATAATTGATTTTGAGTCACTGAGATCAAACGTGATAACAGAAATATCGTCTAAAGTAACATACGAGCCAACTTTGGGAGTATCAAGTATATGTACGTTTTCATCAGGGGAATTTGTGAATTTAGGTGTAGATTTTTGTGAACTTTTTATTTTGGAAGTGAATTTGCGTCTTCCGGGTTTTGATTTCATATCATTTAATTCCTTTAAAATTACGTTTGTATCAATACCATGTTTTATATCTAGGTTTGCAGCTCGTATAACTTTCATAGCAATATCGATGTCCGGAGATGTTATCCCAGTAGATGAACGCTGGTTTCTAAGCTTTGCATTATCTTTAACACATTTAGTATAATCAACAGCCTCTTCATCTAAGGGAAACAAACCACATTTCTTGAATCCATTTTTTATCTGCTGGGGCATATCAAACGCAAAGTTACTTTCACAAAACTCGCGCAAGGGTAATGTCATATGAGATTTATGACCATCTACTAGTAAAAGCACAGGTTTCTTTAAATTTTGTTCTCGGTTAGCTATTTATTAAAATCGTTACAAATATATTCAAAAAGATATCGCCCCGCATCCAGCCACTTTCGGATCGGCCTAGTACCCAACCTTTTGGCATGCTTTGTACTATTGAACGAGGAGGTCTTACATATGGAAATATGACAAGTGGGGGACAAATCTTTCCACTAGTAGTAAATATTACCAAAACTGTAATATTTTCTTTTTCTTTACTCACTTTTACTTCATAAACATTTTTATATCCACTTGGAGCTAAAACTTTCCCAGTTTGAGGGCATAATGAACATCCAGACTCATCACCGTTAAAATTCTGTCACCATCATTTAAACCATCAGAAGCATTAATCTCTGTTAAATATTTACGAATATTTTGAAACCAATATTTTACCTTATTGTAGTTTCAGTCACTAAAGCTCTATCTTTGCTGACATTTTCAGGAACTCTTAATGAAATTTCTGGATGCCTATTTAAAAACGATTTTAGCCACTTTTGTCCCGGTATGCCATCTTTAAAGGGGTTTTTAAGGTTTGATTCCTTTACTATATTTGCTACCGTTTTAATTAATATCGTTCTGTTCAAAGGAAATCCTCGTTTTGCCATTTCGATTATGTAATGCGAATTTTTTTTTCTCCATCTAATCCGAGAACTGGTGTAGGCGCCATTCCTCTTGGTCCATCGGTTACGCGACAATGCAGTCTGTCTTGAATAGTAGACCTCGGTATTGCGTGTTTTCTACAAGCAGGTCGAATGCTTTCCTTTCCTTCGCGTATATCATGTAAAGCTTTACGCAGTATCTCATCGCTATAATTTGGTTTTTTTTGATTTTGATTTTAATACACCTTCCAAATTTTTTACCGATTCAGTCATTTTTGCAGCTTTCTAGAACAATAAAAACACATTAGATTAGATAATACAGGAGACGTGTAGTATAATTTTCATTACAAAAACTACTTAGAAAATAAAAAAATACAATTCTGCTGCAACTATGGCAAATATCCCCCTTGTGAGGCTGTCTATAGAGAATGGTTCAGCAGATGGTTAGACTTTGATTGGCTGTTATAAATAAATGAACGTATGGAAAACATTATAATTTTATTTAAATTAAAATTTGAGAGAGATAGAGTTTAAAAACACTGCTAGTGGGTATTGTATCTAATATTACGGTATTGATTATCATACAGAATTTTTAATATTTAAATAATCTCTAACAAAATACACTTCCTCATTGACAGCAGCATTTATCTTAGATGTATTGTAAATTATGAAATATCCATCTATAATGTTATGGTACGTTGAAAAATGCCTTAAACAACTAACTTTTTGTGTTTGAAATATATTTTCTAAGAAGTTAAAACAAAGGTTAAAGGTTATTTATCCAAAACTAAGTTTAATTAACGTTTGGAAATTTCATGAATTTTTTTCGATTGTTTGAAAAAAACGTTTTCATTCCGCTTCCCTTCTTATTACTTTTTAAAATCAAATATATATTACTAAATGCACGGACAGATACGCTGATTCTACAGAATAAACTTTTCTATAGATAGTGGGTGGCCGGAGACAGGAATTATAGCCAGTTATCCGGCCACTATATCATTTTAAGGGCCGTTAGACTAGGCAATACTACCAGTATCCGGCCACCGTATTCTCATACAAGATCTTTTACCCAAAATATTTAAACAGCTTATTTTTGCGGCCGGAGACTGGACATGTGGTTAACTAGAAAAGAAGAAAGATACAGCTAGTAAAATTATATTTAATAAAATGTTAATAAAATATAATAAGTAAGTAAGTCACATCAACCTACAAACCTAGTGTCCGGCCGGGATAGGTCGAACACTGGAAGTAGCCTTATTTTGTTCCAGTCTACCGGCCCCCTATTTTTTTAAATTATGATAAAAAGAACCCATATTTTACACTTAAATTAAGTAAGTGGACGTATACTTGTGTCAAAAAACATAAACCTATTTTGATATAATGATTATAAGAACGTGAACTCACCATTTAAAAACACCTCGCCACTATTTTTTTTTATTGCACTTGTCAATTCAACACGCGTATACCCACTCCTGTTTTTAAATTAAACTAAAACTCCGCTGAATACTTGCGGCAGAAGTTGTTGCATCTACGTTGTAGATAATTTAAAATAGTTTTTAAAAAGATTAGTTTTAGGTTCAAAATTGTATCTGTATTCTTAATTTTCTTAAAAATTATGTCACGCAGACGGATATTGGTGGGGGCCGGTTCACTGGACAGATTACCCTATTCAGCGTAACATTACGTTCGTACTTTGTAACTTAAGTGTAGCTGTCCCTAAATCTTTGGTCCGATAAATTATTATTTTAATTTAGTGGTGTTACTTTGTTATTTTACTAATTGATTAATTCTCCGATCTAGAGCATTGTCTACACTTCATGTATATTTATCTGTACCTAATCTTCAATACCCTTAATACCTTGACGGATTTTTAACTTCCATTAACTTTTTCAGGAATATCACCGTAAACCGGTGAGTTCGAGTCGTTCGTATACATATATTTTTCATCAACTACGGTTTTAGTACTTTCGGCAAAAATGGGATTTCGCCAACTCACTAGAACTAGTAAAATTTTCTAATTTTACTACTACCAACGCGACAATATGAATTAATTGACCTCTGTACAACTAACAAGACCAGAAGATCTCCTTTTTGCCAAGGATCTGTGTCATTTACACCCCTCTTTGTCGGTATCAATTTCTTTAATCTCATTCTTTAAGTTCATCGCATCAGCATTTTTATACTTAATCAAGAATAAATTTAGCAGCCTATGGGTATCCTTTTACCATCAGCATAACTGCGTGCTAGTTTGCCACTCTCATTTTAAGGAAAATATTGCAGTTATCAATAAACTATGGGCGTACGCTAGTATCCTTTAAATGGCCAGAAACTGGTATAACCTCTAGTGGTAGGGTTGCCAGATGGTCGGGATTCGTCTGGATTCTCCCGACATTTTAAATGATCTCCCGACTCCCGACAAAACACAAAATCTCCCGACAATCAGCTTCTCGTAAAGTTCTGTACAAAATAATAATTTAAAATTGTCGCGCACTTTTACGTCCACTCAATTTTCGAATGGAACGCCGGTCCCGATCAATCATCAATCACTTATAAAAAACAAAGAAAAGTTGTTTATTAGTGATCGATGCGGTCAATGTTAAACGGGGGCAGGGGCGGGTGGCGTGGCGTGGAACAGTGGAACGATGTAAGCTGTAACCCCGCGTTCGCCCGATTCGTAGGTTTACGTCGTCGCATGCGCACTATTTCACAGCTTCTAACAGTAACGAAAGGTAGATATCAGGACGCAAGAATATTGGCTTAAGGAAATTATTGACACTAAACTCGAATAGGTGAATTTTTTTTTGTGTTTCATTTTCGTTATTTATGATTTCAATTTTAAAGCATGTCATATTGTCGAAAGATCTTATGGTAGCTCAATTTTAGTACCTACGCATGTATTTACGCGCGATTGACAAATAATATCTACTTGCAGAATTTAATTGATCGATAAGTATTAATTGTCGAATTTACTTACCTGTATTTCATTCTTTGTTGAAAACTGGTCCGTTATCGTCTATTCTTACATAATAAATTTTTGATAATTAAAATTTAATAGTCATCAAAAATCATTAATAGATAATATTATTAATCATATAAAGTTTTTGAAAAATTCAAAAATTTTAATAAATAGTAAGTTTATTAAATGAATAAACGAGATTATTAATGATACTATCGCGGTCAAATCATAGTGGTCTAAGTGTTTTAATTAATTTCGCTACGTATTACTTCACTATTATGCCGTGTAGTGGCGGTTGAGAATATCCACTACCCCATATCATTCCGTGGGTGTCGTTAAAGGCGACAGAGGGAGACAGGCAGGAGATGGGCAGCAGCATCTTCCTGATAACAACTGTGACGTAATAAAAAACTGCGGTTGCCAACCCGCTCGCCAAGCGTGGCAACTATGGCAAATACCCCCCAATGAATAAATACACAAACAGACGGGCCCCAGTCCCCGGCGGCCCCGCTATTCCTGGCTACGGTGGCGACCATGGTAACGGCGGGGCAGGGGGTGCTAAGAATCTCCGGTGGAGGTTCGGTTGCCACCTACGACGACTCGACCTGGCAACATATAACGCACGCACCCTGAGGACTGACGAGAAGATACTAGAGCTGGAAGAAGAGGTAGACAAGTTGCGCTGGCATATTATTGGATTATCCGAGGTCCGAAGAGAGGGGGAGGACACGGCAATCCTCGAGTCCGGCAACTTGTTCTATCACCGGGAGGGCGACCATCTGTCCCAAGGAGGTGTCGGATTTATCGTCCACAAGTCTCTCGTCAACAACGTTGTAAACATTGGGAGTGTGTCGACGAGGGTCGCGTACCTGATACTCAGAATCACCAAACGGTATTCGCTGAAGGTCATTCAGGTTTACGCACCAACCTCGGCACATCCCGATGAGGAGGTGGAGGAAATGTATGAGGATATTTCCAGAGCCATACATTCCTCCAAAACCCACTACACGGTGTTGATGGGAGACTTCAACGCAAAACTAGGCACAAGAGAAAGCGGTGAGCTGAAGGTAGGGAAATTTGGAGTAGGGCAACGGAACCGAAGGGGCCAGCAGCTGGCCGACTTTATGGAGAAAGAGGGACTCTTTATGATGAACTCTTTCTTCCAGAAGCGGCCCCACAGGAAGTGGACCTGGTCGAGCCCCGACGGTTCGACAAAAAATGAGATTGACTTCATTATGACGACCAGACGCCAACTGTTCAGTGATGTCTCAGTGATCGCAAGGGTGAAAACTGGCAGCGATCACCGAATGGTTAGAGGCAAACTGAACCTAAACGTTAAGTTGGAGAGGTCTCGTCTAATGAAGTCAACGCTCCGTCCCCCCTCGTGCTCTAATCCA